CTGGGAGGAAGGAAGAGCGAAGGCTTTCCCTTTGGAGGGAGGCCTTTCCCCTGCTTACATCCGGTGGGGCAGAGCAAGGAGCAGCCGAGGAAGGAAAACAGCTGGGAGGGAGGGAGGGGCCTTTTGTAAACTGGGCGGCTCTGAATGGCGCATCTAGGAGAAAGGCCGCCACTGGTCAAGCCTCTTCTTTGCAGCCAGGAGAGCTGGCCAGAGGTTCCTCTCTTTGGAGGGGGAAGGAGATCTCCTTTCCATCTCTGTCCCAAGAATCTGCCCTTCCTGGGCCTCTTTCTCTTTCTGCCCTGCTTTCCTCTATGGATGAATAAAAGGCTTTTCCCACAATGAGACCAGGAGACCCCCCCTTCAACACAAACACAGAGAAGAAGGAGATCCCTCCAAACTACCCAAACACCCCTTCCTGCAGTGGATCCCCAGCCTGGGATCTGGCCAGGAGAGGGATCTAGTCTTCCCTTCCCTTTGCCAGGTCCAGAGCTACTGAACCAAGTCCTTAACAGTCCCCTTTAAATACCACAGAGGGAGGGGAATACAGAAGAGGCTCAGGCATCTGGGAGGGAAGGGAGAGATATTGCTCCCAGCTGACCCCTTTCTCCCCATAAGCCCCATTTCTGGGACCCCCTTGTGTCTCCCTTTTCAGCCCCTTCTCTCCCTCCCTGCACCCCCCAGGACAGGGGCCCTTAAAGTAACGTTTCCAAGTCTGGGCAAAATGCGGGGGGTGAGGCCAGGTGGGGGTTGTATGGAGGAAGGAGCAATTGGGGGAGGAGAGAAAAAGCACTGGGGGGGATGCACCCTTCTCTCCCCCTCTGCCACCACCGCCCCCCAAAAAGGGTGCCTGCTTTCTGTTTGACAGAGTTGGAATTAATTTTAAGGCATTTTCTACATAGTTCTATTTTTAATCCAAAATTTTGCCCTGGAATGTCTTTTTGTGGTAAGTTGGGAAATTAACCAAAGAAGCCTAAACATGTTTGTCTTAAAACAGCCTTTGATGAAAAGATTTTTCTGCCCTCTGCACCATTTGAAATATTTAAATATCTAATATTTGATTATGTTACATAAGACTGAATGCAGTCTTCCAAAGAATAGCAAGGAGAGACAAGAGGGCCTTCTTAAATGAACAATGCAAAGAATTAGAGGAAAATAATAGAAAGGGAAAAAAACAGAGATCTGTTGTGAACCTGAGAAGTGCGCCGTCCTCTGGGCCAACTGGCACAGTGATTGAGAGCAGTTGTGTGGAGGGCATCCTTGTCGACATAGAGCCTGAGGAAGTAGTTCCTAAGCAGTCCACGGAAGTGTATCTGGTGGAAGAAGGAGGGGAGGAGTTAGACCTGATTCTCCAGGAGGAGATAAAGGAGGGGGAAAAAGAGCGCGCGTTTAGTTGGACAGGAGCGGGAGCTTTAGGAAAGAGGGTGAACCGAGGGGTGCAAACGGACCACATGCTCGGAGGGGAGACTTCCATGGGACTTTCTCAAACATTCCCCAATTTGCAGTGGGGAAGTGGATTGCTGCTGGAACCATCTACAGTGGGGTCTCTACTTAAGAACTTAATCCGTATTGGAAGGTGGTTCTCAAGTTGAAAAGTTCTTATGTTGAATGTGCATTTCCCATAGGAATGCATGGAAAACCATTTAATCCGTATCTGCTCTTTTCCGTCCATAGAAACTACAGCACAGCGGGTATTGCAGGAAAAGGTTTGGATCCTCTGGAATGGACCGTGGTTGTTTATCCCCCGCAACCATCCTGGGGGGAGGAGGGTGATCAGACCTGGTCCCTCTTTCCTCCAGAAGCCTCCGGAGGGAGATTGGGCCCGCCATCCGTGCTGTGGCACGGTTTGCGCCATGAGGAGTACCCCTCTGACACCGTTGACAGATCGGGAGCGTTTTGGCCCGGCCCTGGAGGGAGATTGGGCCCGCCATCCATGCTGTGGCATGGTTTGCGACGTGAGGAGTACCCCTCTGAGACCGTTGGCAGATCAGGAGCGTTTCGGCCTGGCCCCCTTCTAATGAATGACGCGGTGTTGCCTAATGTTAAAGTGAAAAAATACAAGTTGTTGCCTGAAGTGAATTTATTGGACCCCTTTGACTCAGTGGAGTTGAATGCTGTAAAAAATAAATATGTTAATTTTGAAAGTTCAGACCAGCCTCCGACTCTCTTTCCCGCCTTCACCACCAGCGCACCCCCTGGCCAAATACGAACTTTGTTACATCTGTTCAAGAAAATTGGAGATGTTAAAGAAACATTTTGTGCAAAGATGGACATGATAAAGGACAACAATGGGAGGGACCTCACAGAAGCAGAAGACATCAAGAAGAGGAGGCAAGGATACTGTACAGAGGAATTATACCAGAAAGATCTGGGTGTCCCGGACAACTCAGACAGTGTGGTTGCTGACCTTGAGCCAGACATCCTGGAGAGCGAAGTCAAGTGGGCCTTGGAAAGGCTGGCTAACAACAAGGCCAGTGGAGGTGATGGCATTCCAGTTGAACTATTTAAAATCTTAAAAGATGACGCTGTTAAGGTGCTACAATCAATATGCCAGGAAGTTTGGAAAACTCAACAGTGCCAATCCCAAAGAAAGGCAGTGCCAAAGAATGCTCCAACTACTGTACAATTGCAATCATTTAATACGCTAGCAAGGTTATGCTCAAAATCCTCCAAGGTAGGCTTAAGCAGTATGTTTGCCGAAAACTCCCAGAAGTACAAGCTGGATTTCAAAGGGGCAGAGGAACTTGAGACCAAATTGCTAACATGCGCTGGATTATGGAGAAAGCCACAGAGTGTTCCAGAAAAACATCAACTTCTGCTTCATTGACTATGCAAAAGCCTTTGCCTGTGTGGACCACAGCAAACTATGGCAAATCCTTAAAGAAATGGAAGTGCCTGACCACCTTACCTGCCTCCTGAGAAATCTGTATGTGGGACAGGAAGCAACAGTTAGAACTGGATATGGAACAACTGATTGGTTCAAAATTGGGAAAGGAGTATAACAAGGCTGTATATTGTCATCCTGCTTACAGTGGACCCTTGACTTACAGACGGCTTGACTTACAGACTTTTTGAGTTACAGACTTCTCTGGCCGCAAAATTTAGGTTTGACTTGCAGACTGAGATTTGTCTTACAGACCAGAAAAAAACCAAAATGGAACAAAAACGGCCTGTTACGGGATTAATCGGTTTTCAATGCACTGTAGGTCAATGGAGACTTGACTTACAAACTTTTTGACTTGAGAACCACCTTCCAATACGGATTAAGTTCTCAAGTCAAGACCCCACTGTATTTAACTTATATGCAGAATACATCATGCAAAAGGCAGGACTGGAGGAATCCCGAGACGGAATTAAGATTGCCGGAAGAAATATCAACAACCTCCGATATGCAGATATACCACTCTGACGGCAGAAAGTGAAGAGGAATTAAGGAACCTTGTAATGAGGGTTTAAGAGGAGAGTGCAAAAAAACGGTCTGAAGCTCAACATCAAAAAAACTAAGATCATGGCCACTGGTCCCATCCCCTCTGGGCAAATAGAAGGGGAAAGATATGGAGACAATAAGAGAGTTTACTTTCTTGCACTCCATGATCACTGCAGATGGTGACAGCAGCCACGAAATTAAAAGACACCTCCTTCTTCATATCCCCTCCTCTCTCCTCAGAAAGGGTCCGAGGTGTCTTACATCATAAGAAGATAATATTTAAAGCTAAAAACAAACAATAGGCAAATATATTTTTTTACAAATCCAAGAAATACCATACTAAGAACAGGGAGGGAGGGGCCTTTTATAAACTGGGTAGCTCTGAATGGCACATAGAAGAGAAAGGAAGCGACCAGAAAAACCTCTTCTTGCAGCCAGGAGAGCTGGCCAGTATATTTTTCCCGGGGGAATCTCCTTTCCACCTCTGCTCTAAACCCGTGGCCTTCCTGGGCCTCTTTCTCTTTCTGCCCTGCCCTGCTCTCCAGATTTTTTTTTAAAAAAGCTTTTCCCGCAGTGCTACCAAGAAGCCCCCTCCCCACGCACACAACTACATGCACACACACACACAGAGACACAAACACACACACACACACACACAGAGACACACACACACACACACACACACATTGAAATAGATTAACACCATTCTCTTTCAGAATCCTATTTAGGTTATCTCAAACAAAGCAAACCCTCTATATTTAAAAAGGGGTCTATAGAACAAATCTGTCAATACAATTTTATTTTGTGCCTTCATTTTTTTCTGTTCTAGAAATTTACTTAGTAAATTTGAAAAAATGCAACTGGAAAAAAATCATAGAAGCGGGAGAAATCAGCTCTGCCTCCCCATCACCTCCCTGGGAGAAAAGAAGAAGCCAAAGGATCCCTCTGGAGAGATCCAGGGAAGAAGGAAGGATCAGCTGGGAGGGAGGGGCCTTTTGTAAACAGGACGGCTCTGAATGGCGCACCCAGGAGCAATGCCCCCACTGGGAGAAGCCTACTCCTTGCAACCAGGAGAGCTTGGACAGTGGTCCCCGACCTTGGGCCTCCAGATGTTCTTGGACTTCAACTCCCAGAAATCCTGGCCAGCAGAGGTGGTGGTGAAGGTTTCTGGGAATTGTAGTCCAAGAACATATGGAGGCCCAAGGTTGATGATCACTGAATTAGAGCATCTCCAACTTTATGTGCTGTGAATTGTAACCTCAGGTTACCTTAAATTTAACCTGAAGTAACAGATAAATGAAGTTCAGTAAACTAAAAAGTTGAAATGGGTTCAAACAAATAAAAACATGTACTATTTCTGTCCCACTCAGAGAGAATACAGGTGTGTCTTTTATGTATCTTAGCATTTACTTTTATACATAGAGACATTTGCAACTTGGAGCAAGCAGAAAACACCCTTCCCTTCTGTACAGTGTCTGCTTCACTGTGGTTACAGTTACAGTCACAGGAATCTATATAAGGAAGATACTGATTAAGGACACAGCAATTAAAATAAATTGTTCTTTCCATACCCTTTCACCGGGTGGGCCAGGTGGTCCATCGTTGCCAGCGGTGCCCTGGAAAACAAAAATGTATTCAATGATCAAAGGAAAGTTTGCATCAAGTAAGCTAGCAGTGATACTGATTCCCCGATTCTTCCAACTTACCTTTGGGCCGGGTTTTCCAGTCGGGCCCCTCGGGCCTCTTGATCCACGTGGCCCCTGTGGAGTGACAAAAGATACGGTGTGTATTACAGTACTGGAGGTCAGAACGACAACTATCTAAAGATTGCAATCAATGTAAAAAAAAAGGACAAGGATAAAATTAAATAGAAGGGTGGAGGGAAAAATGTGTAATACATACGGTTGGTCCTCTTTGTCCCCTTGGGCCTGGTTTGCCATGCAAGCCCTGCCAAAGAAAAGTTCACACAAATTAGTCACAGCTTTTGGCATGTGTGTGTGTGTGGTAGTGGCTGTTTGCCCCCTGAGAAGGAGGTTTTGTTGCTTCAAAGGGGAATGCAGAACTCTATCAGGATCAAAAGCTATACAACATGTCTTACTACCTGCTTTGCATTCAGGTTCTAATAAACAGCTTCTCCAAATACTTGTCACTGTTTGGGAAAGGCAGAATGGCATGTCACATGGAAGGCACTAAGGAGTCTCAATCCGTGCTTGTCTCATAATATTAACCCAGAAGCAAGAAGCATTTACAGAAGGGTTCTGGTAGATGGGAGGGATGAGTAAGATTTCCACTACCTGCTGGTAACACCCTGCCCTTCCATCCGGTTGTGAATCCCTCATCTTCCCTAAGAAGACTAAAATAAACTTGATTAGGGAAGTGGTAGCAAAGAGTAATGGCAATGGTGGAGGAAGAATTCTTCCCCCATACACCAAACCCTCCTGCAAATGTGCATGTGACCCTGGAAGATCCCGGCAGAAAGAGCCAGCCGGGAATCGATCCACGAGGAGGAGAGGAGGAGAGGGGAGGGGGTGTCTGAAGGAAAGGCGGGACGCGCCCCCCCCCCTCCGAGCGAGGAAGAAGGAGGCAGGAGCCCCGGCTGGCCTCCCTGGATCACAAACCGACCAAAGAAGGAAGGAAGGAAGGTCTCTGCAATTTCAAACATGGCAACAAGAACTCACACTTGCAGGAGGGGGTGGCCTGGTCAGTCTGTGCAAGTGACACACACACACACACACAGAGAGAGAGAGAGAGAGAGAGAGAGAGGCAAAGAAACAAAAGGGTGTCCCTCCTGTTGTGCCATTTCCCCCCCTTTTCTCCAAGGCTTCTCCGTGTTTGAAAGATTTCCCCCTTTTTTCCAACTATTTGATTTCTGCAAGGTCAGCTTCTGGGCCGAATCCCAAAAGGCCAGGGTCCCCTGAGCAAGGTCCGGCCCTGATCAGATGGGGAACGTCTCTCCCTCCGCTTGCCCACCCAGGCCACCTCATCCACCCAGGTGTGGCCTATGCAGGGATAATAATAATAATAATAATAATGGGGGTTCTCTCTCTCTCTCTCTCATATTCTCTCCTTTCTCCACAAAAAGAGCCTGAGGTGGCTTACATCATAAAAACGTATTTAAAGCTAAAAAGAGAAAATAGGCAAATAATTTTTTAAAAAATCAAAGAAATACCATGCTAAAAACAGGGAGGAAGGGTCCTTTTGTAAACTGGGTGGCTCTGAATGGTGCATACAGGAAAAAGGCCCCAACCGAAAAAGCCTCTTCCTGGCAGCCAGGAAAGCTGGCTGGAGGATCCTCTCCATGGACAGGATGTAACCTGTGGCTTACATCATAGGAAATAATATTTAAAGCTAAAAGCAGGAAATAGGCAAATAAGGTTCAAAAAATCACAGGCACTTCCTTCTCCACCTATCCCCTTCCAGCCATGGGAATGAACTTGCTTGATGAGGCATCCTTCAGTCTTGAGAGACTATGGTAGCATGCTCTGTATGAAGGACTTGGGACAGCATCTAGTGTGGCCGAGAAGGCCAATTCGAGAGTGACCATCTCTTCCACACTGAAGACAAACACAATCTGTCCCCTGTCCAGCTCCCTGGTTTTGCTGGTTTCGGGACTGCCTCTTTGCCTTGGCCTGCTGGACAAAGGTCTCTTCAAAATGGGAGAGGCCGTGATGCACCGCGTGCCTCCAGGCTGAACACTCAGCCTTCAGATCCCGCTTGCGGATATCCTTGTATCGCAGCTGTGGTCTCCCTCTGGGGCGATTTCCCTGCACTAATTCTCCATACAGGAGTTCTTTTGGAATCTGACCATCAGCCATTCTCACGACATGCCAAAGCCAATGTAGACATCGCTGTTTCAGTAATGTATACATGCAAAAAATACCAGCTCTTTCTAGGACTACTCTATTTGGAACTTTGTCCTGCCAGGTGATACCAAAAATCTGTCGGAGACAACGCATATGGAAGGTGTTCAGCTTCCTCTCCTGCCGTGCACAAAGGGTCCAGGACTCACTGCAGTACAGGAGTGTGATCAGGACACAGGCTCTATAGACCTGGATCTTGGTATATGCCGTCAGCTTATTAAAATTGCTTTGCCAATGCGTTTATCCAGCTCAACATCTAGGGAGAGGGTGTCAGAGATGGTTGAGCCAAGGTACACAAAATCATGAACAACCTCCAAATCTTTCATAGAGATGGGAATAGAGGGAGATGAGTCCATGCCCTGGCCCATGACTGGTGTTTTCTTCAGGCTGATTGTTAATCTAAAGTCTTGTCAGGCCTTGCTAAAACAATTGGGATGCACCTGAAACACTCAAGTCACTGCAGGAACATTCAGTGTAGCGAGCAGAGGTTCAAGGGAAATCTGAATTATTTCATTCACCGGCACCAAAACATGAGACCAAAAAAGAGGCTAAAAAATCTTGTAAATAAAGCAAAGTGTGCTGCTTATATACCGCCCCATAGCTCTTCAAACACTCTCTGGGCGATTTACAAGTTAATTATGCAGGCTACACATTGCCCCCCCCAGCAAGCTGGGTACTCATTTTACCAACCTCGGAATAAATAAATAAGATTTTCTTCTCACCAGGCTGCAGAGATGAACAACAAAAATAGCCTCATACCAATTTAAAAACTCACAGAATTTATTCTGACACAAGTGTTCATAACCGTTCCAAGGGTGAGCAAGCGAAGGAAGTCTAGTGGCCACTTTAAGTTTTTTAAGAATCATGTGGTTTTCCAGGACTGCTGCCCCCCCCCTCTGGGGCAAAATTTCTCCCAGATACTCTGGAGGGCACCAGCAAACATTTTGAGCCAAAAATATCTTTTTTCCCCTCCCTCCCCAATGAGTAACTGAGAGCAAGTAGGTATTGAATAAAGGAATACAGTGGTGCCCCGCATAGCAAGGTTAATCCATTCCGGATTAACCTTCGCTATGGGGAAACATCGCTAAACGGAACAGGGAAACCCACTGGAACACATTAAATGAAGTTCCAAATGGGCCCAAAACTCCCTGTTCTGTGATGTTTCCCTATGTTCCGGCGGCCATTTTGGGTGTTCCGGCGGCCATTTTGAGTGTTCTGGTGGCCATTTTGGTGTTCCGGCGGCCATTTTGGGTGTTCTGGTGGCCATTTTGGAACCGCCTGACAGCTGTTCCCCCATCGCAATGTGAAGAAACATCGGTATGCGATCGCTGGAACTGCCTAACAGCTGTTCCCCCATCGCAATGCGAAGAAACATCGGTATGCGATCGCATCAGCAATCGCAAAATCCACTTCGGTAAGCGGATTCGTCGTTAAACGGTGCACTTGGTATGCGAGGCACCACGGTAAAAGAAATAAATCTACTAGAAACTGATAGTAAAAGTAATACACAGGGGTATAAACCCCTGACCCCATATGGAGTGAACTTGACCTCGACTCCAAGAAATTTTATATGCCTACGTGACCTCCAAATTGATTGGAATGTTACAGAACATTTCAAGGAGGTGAGAAGAGGCTAGTGAACCAGATTTACAATATGATAAGTCCTCAGACAAGATGGATGGACAGTGTCATCAAAGTTACCCACATGAATTTGACTGAACTCCGGGAGGCAGAGACAAGATGACAGTGTCATCGAAGTTACCCACATGAATTTGACTGAACTCTGGGAGGCAGTAGAAGACAGGAGGGCCAGACATGCTCTGGTCCATTGGGTCATGAAGAGTTGGACATGACATGACGACTAAACAACAACAACAACAACAACAACAACAACAACAACAACAACAACAACAACAACAACAACAACAACAGTGATTCTATCCCGGTTGAACTTTCTGCATATAGTTTTAGGTCATCCATGTACAAGAGGTGATTACTTTTTCCTGTTTGTTTTGAAATATGGTAGCCCAATCCAGTTTTATTTAAAATCATTGACATGGGGATTAGTGAGATGTTAAATAGCAGAGGTGACAAAGAATCTTCTTGAAATATTTCTCTTTTGATGCTAACTTCCCAAATTTCTTCACCATGGGCAATTAAGACAGTTTTCTATTTTATCTATGTTTTTCTTGAGGAACCTCTAAAGAGAGTCAGTCGCCACTTGCCGCTCACTTATAAGGTGTTCGCTGACACGACTTCAAAGCTTCCCATTCCCTACACATAAGCAGGCAATACGATTCTCATTTTAACGGCCACCAATGGTGGAAAGGTACAAACTTCAGTTAATGAGACAAAATCCTGTTGATTACTGTAGAAAACTGCCAGAGACTTTGGCTCATTGAATCAGTGAGGATTTGGTAAATCAACACATCCTTATGCTCCACAGAGCTGAATGGATTTCCTTTAACTATAAACTACCTTAGCATAATTTCCACTGATTCAGCTACTCTAACTAGTCTTACGTGACAGGATTTTGGTCATACAGACGGAACAGGACGACTGGCCATGAGGCCTTTTGGCCAGAATAAGGACAGGATTTTAAAAGGCTCTTTAAAGGCTGAGATTTGCCTCTCCTGACCAATGTCTGCAGACTGACCTCCTACGGAGCATGGATATAATAATAATAATAATTTATTGTCATTGTAAGTATATACACATATAATGATGTTCCTGGGTTTGCTACCTTTCTTCTGTAGTCAAGGATCTTGAGTCTTTAACATCAGGATGGTTGCAAGTCCAACAGGTACTGTATCTCTACTAATGCTGCTCCATGCTGAGAAAAGTTGCACCAGGTGAATTTCTACCTGCGTTCTCGCTACTAAGAGAAACAAAGATGGCTTCCTAGCTCTTCGTACGAAAAGAATTGGCTCATGACTCTGTAGCTGCTTGTATTTATAGTGGGGAAGTGTTGCTTTTTAACACCAGTTAGTCTTTCCTTCTGTGATTTCAATTCAGTGCCATTTTAAATATTTTTTTTGCTTTTAATTAATTAATTAATTGATTAAATTAATTAAAACATGTTTGTTTC